TGCTAGAATTTTGTTGAAGGAAGTATGTTATTTTTTTTAAAACTTCTTGTGAAGCATGCTAAGTAATTAAATCTTAAAATTGGCGTGTGATGATAAATGTTGCTATGACCAAAAAGGTATGAAGCATCTATGTACTTCATTGAGAAAGGAATGGGAACATGAATTTGACAATAAAATAAAAATAAATAAATAAACAAAAATATATACATATATATTTTTGAAATTTTTTTTTTGAAAAGAATTTTGTGAAAAACCTAGCTGCCTAGGAGTTTGCAACGACCCAAACCCGGAGGTCCAAACCGTTAGCCAGGTCCCTACTTGAACCCAAGGTCTTCTAGGTTAAACTCATCATTTCTAGTGTCAAACATCATCCTTAGAATCAAAACTAGGTCCTCCCAAAGGCTTAAAACATAACCCAAGAGTCAAGAGTAGAAAAAAACCAAGGAGGAAGGAGCAAAGTGGACCAAACAGGGGCACTTCGGTCGACCGAAGTGGAGCTTCGGTCGGCCGAAGCAAGCCTTCCAGAACCGGTCTGTGACGACCCGAACCCGGAGGTCTGAACCGTTAGCCGGGTCCTTACTTGAACCCGAGGTCACCTACGTCAAACTTGACATTTCTAGTGTCATGACATCACCTTTAAGGGCGTCCCTAGGTTGTTACATGGCTACAAAATGAATCCCCGAGGCTAAAAGTGGAAAACCAAAGAAGGAAGAACAATGCGGACCAAATAGACTCACTTCGGTCGACCGAAGTGGAGCTTCGGTCGGCCGAAGCAAGCCCTTCTAAATCGGTCGACCGAAACCCTCCTTCGGTCGACCGAAGTAGAAGTCCTGAGAGCATTTGAATGGTTCAGTCGACCGAAATAGGAGATCCCGAGAGCCAACAAAAGGGGTTCGGTCGACCGATGCACCCTTTCGGTCGACCGAAGTGGCTTCTTCAAGCCCTGAATCCTGAAAACTGACTTACTATGCTTAGAAATTAACTAATATGGCTGAGGGGACTTTTAAAACAACGCAAACCTGGACAAAACCATCGATTACGAAACATTCAAGCAATCGTAAACTACTATGCCATCAATTAATCATCTTACAACATCACTTGCTATAACTTCAAGGAGATATACATGGTGGTCACATTAATTCCATTTACATACGAAGGAAACAAAGTTTCATTCTTAAGTTACAAGGCCATGAATATTAACATCTGTTACATTTTCAAAACTATGGTTATACATTGAATGGCCAAAATACAAAATAACAAAATGGTCTTCTAACAACTTTCAAGCTTGCGGTGGATTATCATCCGCCGATTCCTTTCCATGACCTGAAAAATATGATAAATATATGGGGTGAGCAATTTGCTCAGTAGATGGCACTTAAGATACGTCTCTTGTGTCCCCGTGAATCCATACAAAGAATAGAGCAATAAGAATTGGGGATCATACAATATCGGGACAATATCACATAACAATCAATCACAAGTATACACAATATGATGCAATGGGAATGTAATGCATGTCGATGTCGCTCCCCATTTTCACATTCAAAATCATCGCTTTCAAACGGTTAATATAACCCGCCCTTTGGTGACCCCGCAGCGACACGAGAGAAGAATTGGCTAGTGTCCCTGACCCTTCATGCAAAACCATGCTCCCAAAATTTTCCATTTTTATTTCGAAACGATTCCCTTCATGCAAGCCCAATGTTATGCATATGAGTCTCATGCTTTCATTGTAATAAATACTAAGAGATTTCTCACAACACTATTAAACATGTTCTCATACATCATTTATAGCATGTTAACAACATAATAGATTTAGGAACTCACATACAAGCATGCTTATCATACAACTTAGATTAATACACATCCTCATACATTCATACATGTTCCATCAAGTCAAAGTAACTATAATCACTACAATTAAACATGCTAGAACACAAATCAAGTAAATTAACTCACTAAAGCACAAGACTTCGTGGATTAAGGACCCCTACCTTGAATTGATGCAAAACCCTCAAAATGGGTCTAGATTTTCATAATTCCTAGGGAGCATAAAAACTGGAATTGCTGGTATGGATTCGAAGGCCTCATCGTGGGCTTCGATTTGCCTCAAACGGCTTCTAAAAACTCCGAGAAATGATAGAGAAATCTAGGATGAAAGTTTGACACAAAAAGAAAAAGAAAAATGGAGAAGAAGAAGAAGAAGAAAGAGCGAGCTACAGGAGTGAGAGAGAGAATTCAGAAAGTGAGACTAAATTGTGGTCTCTAACACATGAAGACATTGTGGTGGGCCCCACCACTTCCATTTTGACTTTTCCTTTTCTTTCATTTACTTTCTACAGCACAATTATACATATAACACACCACCGTACAATTGTTACATAAATCAATTAAAGTGAGATGCATCAAATGAAAATGGACCAAACTAAAATACCTATACGCAATCAAACCGATAGCGGGTCCCACACAGAACCGTTCGGCCAGGAAAACGGGAAAATGCAAGAATAGTTGCCCTTGCATTTCAAAGAGTCCTGGACCCAATGAAATGCTCCAAATAACTCTCAGACATAATTGACACACTCCGCAGTGTTTGGTACGAAAAATGTGAAAAGACGAAAATGCCCATGCGGCAACAAAATTTCTAGAACAAAGAAAAATGGTGAAAATCAGAAACATCACAGAGTTACCTAGGGACTGCGGCATTAGTGAGGCCTAGAGGGGACTAAGGAGACTGCCTTAGTGTGGTTGAGTTACCTAGGCCCCAAATGACGCCATGGAGTTGCCATGGGTCAGGGACAATGGCCAATCATCCTCTTGTGCCACCATGGAGTTGCCATGGGACGGGTTCACTAACGGTTTGGAAATGATAATGGAAATGGTTTTGGGAAAATGGGGAGTGACATTGCATGGCACGGCATTTCAGTGCATGGCATATTTATTTGTGGTATTGGATTAATGATGTGGTATCGTAGTTATATTTTTACTCCCGGCATGGTATGATCCCAATTTCCTTTTTCCTATTCATTGTGTGGATTCACGGGGTCTCAAGAGGTGTGCCTTAGGCACTACCTACTGAGCAATTTTTCTCACCCCTATTATTTGACATTTTTCAGGACTCGGAAAAGAAGTGGCGGATGACAATCCCCTGCAAGCTTGAAGAAGATTAGGAGTTGTATTTTGTTATCTTTTGTATCTTAGCCCATTTTTTTTTGTTTTGTCTCAAACTATGTAAAAGAGTATTTATTTTTGCAAATCATGGCCCTGTAACATAACTAAGATACTTGATTATTTTTGTTGTAAACTGAGACCATGTAAATGCTTAAGTTGAAGGGGATGACGATGATGGGCTAATTTGGGAAGGTTGTTGATGTTGTGGTATTGGGGAATGCATTATATTTCTTTTGTACTGTGTGTTGGGGCAGGTTGGATAGGTCTTGAAAGGCAGATGTTTTTTTTTTTTTTTTTTTTTTTTTTTTTTTTTTTTTTTTTTTTTTTTAACAGGTTGTTGTAGGACCATTTTTAGTGGAGGTTATGCCGGAATTTTTTAATTTTTTAATTTTTTTTTATTTTCGGTATTCAGTTTAGGGTAGTTACATAAGGTCACTTTAAACTTTTTTTTTTTTTTTCTTAATAATTGAAACAAGGTCACTTTAAGATTGTTCTCAAGAATTAACTTAGAAACTTTTATGTGATTATGTGGGTAGATATATATATCATATGGTTTAAAGTGACATTGTTTAAATTATTAAGAAAACATTATGTACTAGCTGAATTTTTTTTAAAAATATATATATATATTTAAAGTGACCAAAAATATATATATATTTAAAGTGACCTTGTTTCAATTACTAAGAAAAAATAAAAAAAAAAACAAAACCTTCAAATGCATTTTTGTCTAAGCTAATTGCATTTATATAAAAAAAAAAAGCTTCAAATGGTTGTGAGGGGGATTTTCTGCCTAAAACTAAAACTAAAACTAAAATGGGTTTTATTGTAATTTCCCCAAAATACGAAAAATAATATGGGTAGCATCTTTGTATCCAATTGCGCAAAGTCCATGACCAAACCAGGATTACCAGGGAGAGATTGCAAAGTCATGTGCCGGAAATTTCAGATCGGCATAGAAGAAGATAATATTGGCGAAGGGGAAGACGATATTGAATCGGTTCATACTTCATAATAACGATATATATGTCCGTGTTACAATTTGTTGATTTTTCTAACTTCTGAATCATTGTTATTTTTTTATTTTATTCTTTTTGTAGGCGAAAGCAAATAAGGGAAGATCTCTGAATGATCGTAGCAAGCAAGCAAGCATATTGTTATCTAAATTGTGAAGGGCCCCAATTTTGTTGGGGCATGATAAGTTGTAATCTTCGTTTGTTCTTCGCTTATTTTCATGGTTTTGTATTTTCTGTTCTTTTAATTTTGTGATTGTGTTGTTGGTTTTGCAGTATTTGTAGTAACATAAATTATCTCCAGTTGAATATCGAATAAGGAACGGTATGGACAACTGTATCATGAAAGCGAGGAAGATGGCACGATGTGCCTCTTCTGACAAGCAACAAAAGGTGAGTTCTACTCCAAACGCCCGATGAAATTAACTGTTGTCAGGAAAAATTAAATCTTGTCAAAGTTTTTTTTTTTTTTGTCAGCAAAAATTAAATCTTGTCATTCGTAACTATCAAGTTCTTAACTCCACTGGTATCGACTCCTCCTCCCATATGGGAAATTGAGGTTTGAGTCCTAACAATGGGCGTTTGTCTTACATACCACAAAAAAAAAAAAAAAAAAAAAAAAAAAAAAAAAAAAAAAAAAAAAAAAAAAAAAAATTTATTGCTTACTCGAACAACCAGAAACTCTTATGATGTTCTTTTGGAAATTGTTAAGAACTTAGTGTGGTGGTTTTTAAATTTTTGACAGAGTAGTAGTAATCAGTGTATGTATGCTGGTCCTTAATTTTTTGAGTAGAATAGTGGTTTCCATTTATTTTGTTGATGATGGTTTATTTTTCTTGTTGTGTTTACTATTATTTGGATGTTCGGAGAGAAGAGCATGTGAAGGATGGAATCAGTGGATTGCCGGTTGAAATCCTCATTGCCATCCTATCTCTTTTGATGCATAAGGAAGCTGCATGTACTAGTATTCTCTCACGCAGATGGAGATATATAACTGCTAGTTTCAACTTTGATTCAAAGACATTACTAAGAGCTCCTGCAGATGATGATACTTATTTTGATCAAGTGGGACCTATAGATTATGATGCTTTAGCATCTAAATGCAAAGAAAAGCGTACTACTTATGTAAGATATGTGAATGAAGTCTTGAAATTGCATCTTGGCTCCTATATAGACGAAATGAGGATTTCTTTTGAATTCCGTGGGCACTACCCTCATGATATCAATGATTGGATCAAGTTTGCAATGGAAAAGGGTGTTCAAAGGTTTGAATTGGATTTGTTGGCTGGCATTCACCCCGGAGACTGGATGCAATTTTACAATTTTCCAAGCATGGAAAACTTCAAATTCTCATCCATGACTTCACATAGGACTCATGTGCCACAGACTATTGGTTCTGCATCTGGCTTTTGTTCCCTAACAGTCCTTCGTCTGTTTGGTGTTAATATCATGGATGAGGTGATTGAGAATTTCCTATTCAACTGTCCATTTCTTGAACAATTATGCATTGTGGGTACAACATGTCTAGTAAATCTAAAAATTGTTGGTCCATCACTGAAATTGAAGTGCTTGGAGATATCTCACTGCCACTATTTGAAAAATCTAGAAATTTCTGCAATAAATCTTGTTTCATTCACCTACTTTGGACCAGACATAAGTGTGCCTTATAAAAATGTTCCTCTTCTCTCTAAGCTATCTATAGGGAGACCATTCTGTTCATCCTTTGTTTTTGGATCTTGCAAGCATTCCAGCTACATTCCTCAATAGAAAAGCTCAATTTAAAAGTGTTTTCTCAGGTTAGAATACACAATCTTTGTTTATTATTATTATTTTTATTATTATTTTTAATTTATTTTTTTGGGGTTATTTTTGTTGTAAACATCATTATTAACTTGTGCTTGCTTTTGGTAGGACTTTCTTCGGTTCCCAAGTATTTCCGCGAGCTAGGTAATCTCAAGCAAGTGGAATTGTTTATCCTAGGGTTTACTGGTTGCAGCCTTCTAAGTTTCACTTCTGTGATTCAAGGCATCTCCTAATTTGTCTAAGTTTTCTGTTCGGGTAAGTATCCTTTCTTTGTAATCTAAGGTATGTATGCCAATGGAAGTACTCCGTATTATTATTGATTTATTTATTTTTTCTAAATTACATGTATGATTTTCAATAGTTTTTTAATGTAGAAAGATACGAAGAAGAGAGTAAGAGGTGAAGGCGGATAGAGACGTAAGATCTTTGTTGAAGAGGCTGAGGAGGTGAAAGGGACCATCACCCTGCTATTCTTGCCTCTGCAAGTAAATTCCCATCTACAATTTAAAAGAGGAAACATATCAAACTTGATTTCTCACTAAAAATTTAACCCAAGGTCCCAAATTAAATTTAAAGAACAAGTTGAAGATGAAGAAGATAACAATTGAAAGTAATGCATTCCTAAAAAATGTCTTTCCAAGCACACGGTTAATTTTGAGAAGGTTGGTTTGTGCTTGTGGAGGGAAAAATCCCCTCCAATAAAGGCCCGACACCTGTATAGTTGCGTCCTCAATCATGATATGACACATGTCAAATTAATGGCCCAAACCAAATACAGATCAAAATCAAAGAGACGGGTCGAATGGCCAGTCAGACAATCAGTCCAATGAAATATGACCAACTTGGCAGCCCAACATGGAAATTCGTAATGACCTAATATGAGCCGACGAGAGAGCTAAATAAGAAACAGCTTTTACCCCAAGAAAAGGGGATCCATTATGGTTATGCATGTATAAAAAGAAAACACAGCCCCAAAAGAGGCAGCTCTGAATGGAAGGAGGATCTTTTCTCTTTCTGGAATTTTCTCTGTTTTTCCTTCTGGTTTGAATATTTCCATTTGGAGTGGTGGTGTGAGGTTTTGTAGAAATTTTCTGCACCTATAGTGCTTATAAGATTTGAGTAACCTAAGGAAAATCTTTCATGGAGGCCATCTGAATTTACAACATCTATGCATCAAGTGTTAGGGAAAAGTGGACAGAGAAAGGAATGGGATAAGAGGATGAGAAATATAAGAATTTGAAAGAAAGAGGCAAATATCTTGAATTGTCCTCAATTATGAAAAAGGAAATTAAGGAAGAAAAGAGATCTATTGATCCTATCCACTGTTATCTAATATCATCCGGAAACATATTTTCTAAAGAGATCCATTGATCCTATCCACTGTTATCTTGCTTAACCTTAGTTGCCATGTGTTTTCATGTGATTAATGTGTGATTACAAATGAAAAAAAGCAAGTCTTGCAATATGTATGTTACTAGAATATGAATAATATCAATATGTTATTGCCAGCCATAATAAAAAGTAAGCTGTACCTAATGCTTAAAAATATAAAGTGATTAAATTGAGAAATCACAGTGAGCTAACTTACAATAAAATTTTATGATAAAATGAAGGGTAAGTTACATATACTTTCCCTTCAGGTTAGGTTAAATATCACATAGTTAGACATTTTGGTTTTAACTTTCACTCGCGTTACAAGTATTTGGTCCCTATTTCACTCGTCCCCAACTGACAGCTGCAGAGGTCTAACCCTAGGTAAAATGACTTTGATACCCTTTTGACTTTGTCAAAACACCAAAAATGATGTAAAGAGACTAAAATACCCCATATATTCTTTTTAAATTTACAATCATGCCTACCCCATCACCACCACTATAATAGCTCACCAAATCAGCGTATTTCAGCACACCAACACCACCACAATCGGCACCGACTCCACCACCATCCCCACTCCACAACCACCACCATCACTGTGGATTCCAACACACCAACACCACCACAATCGGGGTCATCACCACCATTATTACAAACTTCTCTTGTATACAAGAATTAAAGAAAGAGATGGGTGGATTGATAGACCCATCGTTTTCCTATCGGTACAATATATATATATATATATATATATATATATATATATATATATATATATGCTTCATCTTATTTAGGAAAAAAATATATATGCTTGATCTTCAATGGAGACTTATGCACATCTCCAGTTGCGTCTCGCTAGAACTTTATCGATTGGGCCACAGTGGCTTCACAGATTTGGCCGCTTCCTCGTTGTTGACTTCTCTGGTCATCGCCGGACTGAGGCATACTGATATTGAGGTTCGCCTGAACTCAAGCACGCCGGACTGAGGCACGTTAGATAGTCTCTGGTCTGAAAATCTCGATTCTGGGGTCTTCAATGGAGCTTACTGTTGCTTTATCTTCAATGCAGCTCTTTTTCAATATATATATATATATATATATATATATATATATATATATATATAATTTTGGGAATGTCACAATTCCATTCAAATTCATCCACTAATGGACTCTTGATGAGAAAACTTTTAGGGCTTGAATTGTTTGACCCATCAACACTTGTCCCTCGAACACATCATTGTTGAATCAAATCAGATTCTCGATACTTTGGCGATCAATCCAGTCTTGGATCTCCGACTCGATAGAGCCGACGACTTGGGAGATCTTGTGGGTGGTGACTCGGCGAGTGAGGATCGACTGAGGCCTCGATATTATTGTAACTTGTCGAGTATGGATTTGAAGTTGGTGAGGTAATGAGAGAGGGTGGAGAGGCAAGTGTCGTTGGAGAGGATTTTGTCGCCTTCAGTTTCAAGCTCGAGCAGAGCTTTAATGGCAGAGGAGTAGAGGTTTGGGTTGGTCTGTAATTGTCTGCACAGAGAGAGAGAGAGAGAGAGAGGAGAGAATAAAGAAGAAAAAAACTCAAAAAAAATAAATAATAATAATAATAATAATCACGCAGTGTGTATCTATCTATCTATATATATATATATATATATAAGATATTTTTTCTTATAATTAAGGGCACTTTTGACTTTAAAAAATCTAATATTTTTTTATTAAAATATATTAAATAAATGAGGGCATAAATGACATTTCACACCTTATTTTAGATAAAAATCTGACATGGGGTGTGAGTGAAAGTTAAATACAAAATGTTCATCTATATGAGATTTGACCAAACCTGAAGGTGTGTCAGTGTAATTTACCCTAAAATGAACATGAGATTCCCTCCTTACTTTTGCTTTATCTGTTACATACTAATGTGACTTTTGCATGGTCATTTGATTGACAAATTGGACATTGCAAGAAGCAAAAATCTGTGTGTGCAAGTACTATTTGCACCTAAATAAAATGGAACTTGTATTAAATGTAGAATTATGTAAATAAACATTGTTTTATCTTCTTGCTTGTAAAGTCGCGATGATTTTAGAATTAAAAAGGCTATTGCTTAGCCACCAATGTAAGGTGTTGGAAAGGCATATTGGATGCAAATCAAACCTTTCACATTAATAAATAAAGTGGTTGTTCTTAGCCTTAAAACAATGGTCACACACTAACAGCTTGACCTTTTACCGTTGCACAAAGGATAATGGCTCTGAGCTACTGTATTGTCGTTGTGTTACTTTTAGTGTTGGGTTTATGCAATTCTACAACTTTGTCTTTTGTGGGTAAGTAGTTTTGTAAAGTTTTACTATTATAAAACCTGTAAATGGGACTATTTGGTTGGATACCACTGAATGTTATTAGAAGAAAGTTTAATTTTGCTATGTAGTTAAATTTGGCCAATGATTACAATGGTAAGACAACAAATTTTAGCCCCTTGTGATGGGGGAGGGGTAATTGAATTTTCCAAACACACCCAATTTAGGGTGAGGTCTAGGAGGCAGTTTAGGTTTTGGGCTAATAAATGGTGTGGGGATAGGTCAATAGAAAATGTTTTCTCAAGGTTGTTCAGGATATCTTTAGATGGTCATGTATTGATAGCTGCTGTTATAGCCTTGATAGCAGAAAGACGACTTGGTATGTGTGGTTTGTGAGATCTCTCGAGGATTGGGAGATGGAAGGCATTGTTGGGTTCTTGGCGTTGTTGTACCATCAGAGGGTGGTAGTTGAGGGGCAGATTTATGGGTTTTGGGAGGATTCTAGGCAATGTAGGTTTGAGTTGTGCCCTTTTTACTGGAGGCTTTCAATAACTCAGGGGTCTGCCATTCCTAGGAGGGCAGTTTGGAATACCAATGGACGGTTGTTTTGAGGAGGATCATTGACAATCGACAAGGAAGAGGCTTCAAATCTTGGTAAATTGGTACTGCATGTGCAAGAGGGATGAGGAGTTGATTGATCATCTTCTTTTCCATTTTGCGGTGGCTAGGGATGTGTGGACATGTTTGTTTCCCTTTCTGCTTAGCTGGGTCTTGCCAGGTTCCACTTGAGCATGTTCGAAGCCTGGAACAGGTATATAGTTGGGTTGCTAGACGAGGATGCATGGAGATTGATTCCACTTTGTATTTGGTGGGGCTTGTGGTGCGAAGGAAAAAAGGATGGAATCTTCTAGTTGACATTAACATCGTCCATTTGTTGTTCTCTTTTTTGTTGTTTTATTGGGAGAGATTGCAGAGGATTTTGTAGCCTTTGTGGATAGTTTGAGGTTATAGGGGATATTTTTGTTTTGGAGCTTATTATTTTGTAGATGACGATTCTAGATGAGGATGTTAATGTCAACGTTATGAGGATGTTGATGTCAACGTTGACTCTAGTGATGACGACTGATGATGTTGATAATATGTTGATACACTCAAATTAAGTCAAAGCACTTAGAATTGAAGGAAATTTAGAGTTGAAGACATACTATTGAGCATAGTGTTTAATTCTTTTAGTTACAAGAATCTTTGGTCACTTCACACAGAATTTTTCAGTTCCTGAAATTCTGAAACAAT